GGATAGGCCTCAGAGTAAAAAAAATTAATTAGGTGAGTCAACAACCTTAACACTGCTTCTCAGCTTCTCCATGTCTTCATTTGCAGGATCGGTCTTTTCAGCAGAGTTTTGAGTTGATTCTTGGGTAATGACCGTTTCTTGAACTTCACTTACAGTCGGCAAAATATGAGCGGACTCAGCTTTTGATTTTTCCTTATCTCGCAACTGTTTCAAAGCCAATTTGAGTTTCTTCTTTTCCTGAAAAAGGTGTGGATGCAAAACATTGAGTTTCAGGGCAAAAATTAGAAAAGCTGCTTGCTTTTTTTGGGAAATGCAGAATGCACAACTGCAGAATCGATAAGCACGCGAGTTCGCGTGCTTTCGTCTAAGCATTGAACCTTTTTGTAAAAATTTTCCCTGTTTGCATCATAGATCCCTCATAAAATACATCCCAAATGTCGTTAATTTGTCGGACAGCAACTACGGACTTTCTTGCTTGTCTATGTACATATTGCATAATTTTATGTAACCCTTAGAACGAATTTGTTCTTCCTGGGCATTCAGGTGGTGTGGTCGTGCCATATCATAGTTGATTTACCACCCAACAATCTTAATACTAACAAGTTCAAGATCATCCTATCTTTAAGAAACTTACTGCTTTATCCTGCTCAATTTTTGCCTTTGCTTCCTGCAACTCCTTCTCAAGGCATTTGATTTTTTCTTCAAAAGCGGTCATGTATTCGATATGTTGGACCTAAATTCCAACTTCAGTCACGTTGAGAAAAGCGCGAAAGAGGCCCACCTTGTTGATGACTTCAAGCGAGTTCTTTCTGCTCTGAGGTGAACTTGCTTCACTTTCGAGGAACTTCTTGCATACTTCTTCCCATTTAGCTCTTCCGGAAGACTTTTCATGCTCCAGCTGGAATTAAACAAGATATTGCTCGTTTACAGTGTAAAAGAGAAACTAAAGTGCTCGCTCACCTCCTCTCGGAGCTGCTCCAACTCTTTCTTAACAGCCGTTGTTTCCTTCAGACCCAGGCGAGCATTGTCCAACTCAGAACGTGCAGCGAACAAATCGCTCTCAAGCCTTTCAACCTTTTCATGGGATTTGCCCAGATCTACGCGATAGCTAGCAAGAGAAGCTTCTGCACTGGCTAAGTCAGCTTTCAATTTGTCCAATTCCTTTTCGAGGCTCGCTTTCTGCTCCTGTGTGCCGTTAAGTTCTAAGCGAATGGATGCCATTTCTTCCTGTGTTTTTGATCCCTGAAAATTTTCTCAATTCAAATCAAACGAGAAAAATTCCCGACTGCAACTCAGTGTTATCCCAGTCGACGTGATTTCGTACTTCTGTTCACCAAAAGGTTTAATATATCCCTTTTTGGGACCCACTAATCCTACTTGATTTAAGCTTAAAGCTCAAGATAAAAAGACTTTAAGAACCAAGAAAAACACAATATTGACTTACGAGTTTCTGGTTAGGGATTAGCGGTGCAATACTTACTTCCTCTTCACGTGTTTCTCCTTCAGCCCGCTGCTGTGATAACTCCTCAGATGCTCTATCGTACATCGCTCGTAACCTAGAAGTGTTCAGTTTATCCACTTGGGAGAAATCCAGTATCAAGA